AACCTTTTTCATCCAGAAGCTGGAGACCTACTAGTGACCTCAATGGAAGAAAAATATGGAGCAATTCTCCATAGAAATTTTTATTTGTGAAATTTTTATTAGTGAAATGGGTTCAGTTTTGGTGATGCCCTAATTGAGTCCGTTTCCAGTTTCATTTCTTTTCCATATCATCCAGTAATCCTGGTAGCCTGTTTGGGAGTCAGGAACCTCTTTATTCCTGGGCAGTGGGATGCACAGCTGTGAGGGCTGTGATCAGAATTTCAAGGGTCCAGGACTCTGGAGCAGCCTGCCAGTGTGACTTCTGGAGATGGGCTTCCCTGTTCTTCCACAGCAAAATTTGGAGGCTTGAGGCAGATTTTTTCAAGAATCTCATTTTGGAATATCAATATCTTTTACTTGCCATGCTCAGTCTTTAGCTTTATTTAGAAGTCCAGTTTATTGCACTTGCTGTCCAGTTTATGATAGTGGCCATTACTAGATGCTGGAGAAGATGCTGCAAAGTGTCTTAAAATGGCAAGTGTGGATCTTGTCTGCTCACAGGTTTCCTTCTGCTGCACAGCAGATATGTTTGGGCTCTCTTGTTTTCTGAAAGATCCAGAAAGTCGCATGTTGTAAGTTATATTAAAAAAAAATCTTGAAGCCTGAACAGTGTACAGTAATTTTAAAACACTTCTGAAATTGTTGACAGCATTCCCTCTTCTAACGGGGCACGGTGTACACTGTTGTTTTTATCTTTACTGCATGGTATTTCTTGTTACAAAGAAAACCCTCTGAAGGGTACAAAATACACTGTCCGGGTAATGCTTCTAAGCCTAAGCAGTTGCTGCATTTTGCCTGTTTCAGTGTTGGAACTGAAGCTGAATAAATGCAGCATAAGTATTTTTTCTGAATACTGAAATGAACGGATTAGGTCACTCTTTTACTCCCTTTATGTTTCCTCTGTAAACGGTTTAGAGATCTGAGTTTGCTGTAGTTGTTTGAATCAATTTTCCAAGCAAACATTTGTAGGACAAGATTTATTAAAGTGAATGGAGATTGTTTTGTTTTGTTTTGTTTTGTTTTTTTTTTCCCACCTCATGTTGTGGATTTTGCAAGTAACAGTTGTTGTGGGGTTTATCTAACCACTTACTGCTAAGGAGAGGTGTTACAATGTCTTATGGAACATTTTAAGTATACAGAGAATTGTTTACAATCAATCCAGAAGAGAACATGGCTGGAATAAATTTAAATAGTGAACATGGTTCTGAAAACCATTGTGCAAAAGGGACTTAATCAAAACCTAATTATTAGAAAATGCAGTTTCACAAAACCTGAAAATGTGTTTAAGAAAGAGTAACTTAAAAGTGATAAATCTGTTTAATCAATTTGTATTCTGGAAGCATTTTTTACTGTAGGCAGTTTACCATTTGTGGTAGCATTTGTGATTTTTTCCCCTGCAATATAGCTCTCGTATAGCAATCTCTTTCTGCTCACGATAATGTTATTTTTCTCCTTCCTCTTATTTCAAAACGTAAAATTAAAATGTACAAGTTACCTTGGTTTAATCAGGCAGATTTAGTGATTTCTTTTTTTTTTGCTTATTTAATCCATGAGAGATAATTTACTGTAACTGGTTATGCAGAAATCCACGCTCCTAACAATTCAGTTATGCTTCGTCAGCTAGTACAGTCTACCATGCAGCACCTCTGACTGAGGATGGGACCAAAAAGGGCAGAGTCTGCATGCTGCCATGGGGAGTGACTAGTCCAATTAAACCATGTGGAGATGGAGATTTTTTGGTGAAGATGATGGTTTTCAGAGAATTAGATCGGTTGTTTTTCATGTACTACATAGGGGATCTGCAGCAGGTAAGCAAGTGTTGTGAGAGCTGGGATTTCTGTGGTTCCAGGCATGTAAGCAGATAGCAGATACCATCGCTTACCGCCCCTCTTGCCTTCGTGCTTGCAGCCAGACAGTATGGGAAGCAGGGCAGAAGCATCTTAAAAGGAATGAGTGCTGCAGGATGCATTAAGGAAGGAAATAATAAGGGAAGCAAGGGAATAGAGGGAATAAATGGAGTAAGGGAATAGACTAGACTAGGCTAGACTAGACTAGACTAGAAAGAATGGAAATCTTGTCTGGGAGGGACTTACAGTGATCATCGAGTCCAACTGCCCAAGCACTTCAGAGTTGACCAAAAAGTTAAAGCGTGTGGTTAAGAGCATTGTCCAAATGCTTCTTAAACCCTGATGGGCTTGGGGCATTGATCACTCTGCAGGAAGCCTGTTCCAGTGATTGACTACCTTCTTGGTAAAGAAATGCTTCCTAAACCTCCCCTGGTGCAGCTGTGAACCATTCCCACACGTTCTATCACTGGATCCTGTGGAGTAGAGACCAGCAGCTGCCTATCCATTTCCCCCCTCAGGAAGCTGTAGAGAGCAATGAGGTCAGCCCTCAAGCCTCCTTTTCTCCAAACCAGACGAATATTTAGATGCTGCTCATAGGACATGTCTTCCAGCCCTTTCACCAGCTTTGTTGCCCTCCTCTGGATGCATTCAAGGACCTATACATCCTTCTTAAGTTGTGGGGCCCAGAACTTCAGAGTTGTCAAGGTAAGGCTGCACTAGTGCTGAATACAGTGAGATAATCCCCTCTCTTGACTGGCTGGTCATGCTGTGTGTGATGCATCCCAGGATGGAGTTTGCCCTTTTGGATGGCAGGGCACACGGCTGCCTCCTACTGAGCCTGCTGCCGACCAGCACCCCCAGATCCCTTTCTGCTCTCCAGCCACTCATTTCTGAGTTTATACTTAGGCTTGACATTACTCTGTCCTATGTGCAGAATACAGCATTTTGTCTTCTTAAACTTCACCCCATTAATCATTGTCCAGTGCTCCAATCTATCTAGATCATTCTGCAAGGCCTCTTAGAATCATGGAATCATTAAGGTTCGAGAAGACTTCTAAGTTCATCAAGTCCAATCGTCAACCCAACAGCACCGTGATCACTTGTCCCTCAAGAGAGTCAACAGCACCTCCCAGTTTGGTATCATCAGCAAACTTGCTAGTGGTGCATTTAACTCCTGCATCCAGATCACTGGTAAATGCACTGAACAGAACTGGCCCTAAAATTGAACTCTGAGGAACACTGCTGGTGACCGGTTGCCACTACAACCCTTCAAGCTCTGTTCTTTGGCCAATTTTTCACCCAGTGAAACCCACCTGCTCATCCTGCAGTTGGACAACTTGTTCAGAAGGATGCTGTGAGGGACGGTATTGAAAGACTTACTAAAATCCAGGAAAACTACATCCTTTTCCCTTCCATTCATCCATGGATGACCTTACTATAGAAGTATGTCGAATCAGTTAAAAAGGACTTTACTTTTGTGATCCTGTGCTGACTGTGCCTGATGATTGCATTACTCTTTAAATGCCTTTAGATAGTACCCAGTATAATCTCCATAATTTTTCCAGGAAAAGAAGTTAGACTAACAGGTGTGTAGTTCCCTGGGGCTTCCCTTGCTCCTTTTTAGTGGATTGGGATAACGTCGTCTAGCTCCCAGTCAGCAGGGACCTCTCCAGACTCCCAAGACTTTTGGTAGATGATTGAGAGGGATCCTACCATAACATGTGTGAGCTCCTTCAGTACTCTGCAATGAATCCTGTCAGGCCCCAAGGACTTGAGAATATTCAGCTGATACGCTTGTCCCTTACTAGAGAAGAATCTGTGGAAGATAGCTATGATTTTGATTTTGTTGTCAATATCACATGGATCTTGTACAAGGTGTCAGAATTTAAAGTTGTGATAACTGGCCTTGGCTTTGGGATTCGCAGAAGCAGAGAAGGAAAGGAGGTAGAACTGGCAAGACTTAAGGGCAAAGCAAATGACAGCTTTTAAATTATCCAACTTTCAAATCCTGGAAATGAGAACTGGATTCCCAAATCTCAACACTCACTTCTTGTCAGCAAACAGACCACAAGTTTTTGTCTGCTCCTGCTGGTGTCTCACGACTATGCCTGTACTGGGAGATAGAGAAAGATTTCCTGGATCCCAAGTCCAGTTTTATCTTGACCTCATGCTAAGGTGTAGTCTTTCCTTGCCTCTGGCTCTCCCTTGCACTGACACTCAAGCCAAAGGGGAGCTGTGATGTTTTCTTACACATGCCCTGATGTGGATGGCTGAAGGACCAGGACTGGAGACTGCACTCTGAATAGTATTTTGTAGAAGAGAGAGCAGATAGGAGCCTTCTGTTGGCATCTCCTGCTCTTGTTATTCCATGTTATAAGGATTTTACTGTCATCCAGTGTTCAGACATGATGGTGCTGTAAAATGTGCATGCACATGAAAAACTTACTTTCATTTTGCTTACTTTTAAAAGTACTAAATCTCTTTTAAAATAGCATTAAGATTTTAAAGGTAAAAGATCAAGTGTTCTGAATGAGACACGAGTCTTGCAGGAAATATGGTATATATGGTCAGTGTGTAAACAAGGGGCAAGTCCCTGGCTACACAGATAAAACATAATTCTGTCAACCTCTGAAATAAGAATATTTGATTTCTTAACACTGATTGTCTTTTTAAACTCAGTATTAGTCTGATGGTAACTAAGTTGGAGTGTCTTACTTTGTTCTTTGGTGCCTTACGCAATTTTTATCCTTTGCTTTTCTGTTTGCTTACCATTAATTGTATTTTTTTTCTGTTTATGTATTGAATTATTTTAAGGAAATGTTATCAAATATGAGAAATATTTTCAAAGTCAAGTATGCTTTCCATCCAAAATACTAAAGTAGTATATACTTCGATCCATGATTTAACTGAAAACATATAGAAAGTAGTAATTTTCTTATCAATATGTTACTTATGGTGAAGTTGCAGCCTTTGAAGAAAACGGCTCTGAAGGTTTTAGAGTACGAAATTCCCTGCTTTAAGAAGCATCTTTTAATTTTGGATTTCACATGTAAATAACTAATGAAACATTCATTTTGTGATGTACGACTCTGACCTTTTATTTCCACAGCCATCATGTATGTAATGGGAGCGCTTGGTCCCGCCGCTGGATATTTGCTAGGAGGACTTCTGATTGGTTTCTATGTTGATCCTAGGACAACTGTTTATATTGACCAGAGTGATCCCCGATTCATTGGAAACTGGTAAGCATCAAGCGTTTTTCAAAACTGCTCTTCAAAGTGCCAGCAGGGAATTGAGGCAGGTTGGGAAATCATGTCCCTCGAGGGTTTGTTTAAGGCAAAGGAAGAGGAGAGTTCTGAAAGAGGAAATTTTTGTCAACACGTTAGCCTCTGAAAGAGAGGATATGTTTGCCACAGAAGCACACCGGCACGTTGCGTGGAAAACCTCCTGCTTTTGGCTGCTCCAGGACTATCTCTGACCACAGTGGGCACTGGCAGCGCTTAGCACTGGGGTAGCAGGGCAGGGTACCCTGGTCCATGAGAAGGAGATAAGATAGGTTCAGAATTTGGCTTTTCCAGTCCTGTTTCTCAGAGTGATGACTTGTATTTAGGGAGTAGATGATGGAAACTGTGACATCATTCTCCAGTAAATAGTAGGCTTCCAGCAGCGCTGAGATGTAACAGCCATAATCATTAGTTGTCTTTGGGTGGCCATTGAGATGTGGCCTCCTTGGAAATGTCTCTTTGGGGAAGTGGGTCTCAAGGAAGCTTTGACTGTTTTTTCTCAAATAATTCATAAATCTGCCTTGCAGTTTTTGTGCAAGCCCAATAAAAGGCTTAAATTTATTATCCCAGGAGGAGACCTCTACTTGTAGATTTAGGTTTGGGTGTCAGTTCTTGTGCACTGGGTTAGTGTTTGTCACTCTGCTGTCATAGTCAGACTCTATTCTATTTTATTTATCCTGCAGTGATCTCTTCTGACAATTTGATGTGAAAAATTCTATTTCGTGTGTTGTAAACCTTTGGTGATTTAGTTCTGCTTTAACTGCCTTACTCAGTCCAGGAGTAATTGCTGCACAGAACTACCTAGCCGAATTTTCAATGAGAGAAAGGCAAACCTGAGCGCTCAGTTAACCTGTGACCTTGGGATTAATGGCTCTGTGCCCTCATGTATATGCTGATTTATCTCGCAGAGAAGATTTTTCCTATGACTGCTGCAGAGTCAAAAAACGTGCTTTGACTATTCTTGAATAAATGATTTGAACCAAAGCAAAATATTAGGCATTCTTTGCAGACCACCTATGTTTCATGTATTTTTAAGGACTTGTCAGAACTGGTAATCAGCATCTGATCAGTAGTTTTTAACAGAAAATGTGAACAGGCCCTTAAATATATTCGTTACTTGAAACCTTTGGGGCTATATGAATGAGGGGTAAGCTTGTGACTTTGTGACACAGCCAGTGATATAACTGCCTTATCCTTTGGGCGTATGTGCGTGAGTTTTAACTTCAACAGCTCCGATGAAGGTAAAATAACTGAAGCAGCGCAGACACATCAGTTTACTGCATCTCAGGCTGTTTGCATCAGGCTTTGTGCCCCAGCAGATGGATGGCCACTACTTGTTTGATGCTAGCTTGGACCTATGTGCAGGGTTGTCATCAAATATGTAAGAGAGATCAGGCAAAGAAGTGTTTGTTGTTACTCCTGAATGAAAAGTTTTAACTACCTTTCTGCAAGAGTGAGTAGCAGGGATGGATGTCCAGTGCCCAGGGAGGGATTCCTGGCATCGTGTGGGAATGCTGTGACCTTTGAGCTCCGTGGCAGAAGTGGTGAGAAGTCACCTATTACAGCCATTTCTGTGGGCAGGCTGTGAGAACACCTACTGTACCCTTGCCTTGCAAGCAGAATAGGGAAAAAAGCCTAATTTGTGCATTCAGAAGATTTTATGTCAAATTGCTAAATAGATTTCATGTATCTCCAAGGTTTAATGTCACCTGAATGCGTATCTTGGTGATGCTAGTTTTGCAAAGGGGTGCCAGCAGAGGTGATGCAAATATGACTGAATCAAGGGCAGGAAATCAACTGTCATAGGATCTCAGCAGGTGCGTCGTATTTTAGCCAGCATAGAAAAGTCATTCAAAGTTTCCTTTTTTCATCATATTGATTAAATCCATAGAGTCTGGCTTACCCTGAAAGGTGTTCCAAATCCCTGTATTACTCCTTCATTTTTGACACTTTCAATTTTTTCTCCCTTTAGTTTCCAGAGAGAAAAATACCTTGCTGTCTGATCTGTGGCAATCTGTTCCACAATCTATGGAGAACTCTCATAAAGGTGTGGTGGTGTTTGTAGCATCTGCACCTCATTCTCTTTTCTCTTTCTGAAGCTTTATCTACCTGTTAAAACAAAGATTCTCACTGTGTGAGGATTGGTCTTTTGTCTTGTGCTACTCACTGACTGCCTGACTGCAGAGAACTCTGGAAGTATAGACTTTAATTCCAACACAGTCTATTTTCTGGGACTATGACATTTTCTCATTGCATGGAAGTACTGCATAGCCAAGTTTACTTTTGTTTATGTAATCTAACAATTAGAAATATAAAAGTAGTCTAGAAGTTAGTTCAGTTGACATGCTGTTTAGAAGTAGAGTGCAACTGAGATAAGTTAATGGGCAGTCATATTTCAGATTTCTCAGCTTTGTCTCCTTTGAAGTGAATTAATGTCTCTGATCCCATTTTTCCTTTATTGTAGTTATAAGGTTTCTAACTTAACTTATCACCATGACTCTGTGAAAAAAAATTCATTATTAAAGGAGGTAATATTTACAGACGAAATAGTGAGTACAGCAACTATGATATATGGCAAGAAAAATTGCAGTAAAGCCTATTTTTCACTTAACCGCTTCCTTTTTAAGAGATATATTGTGTACAGGCAGAATGTGTAATGTGGTTTATCTTCTTTCAAACCCGATAAACAACATAAGTACTTATTTCTGAGGGTTATTTCTGATCTGATTCTTCCTTGACTTTCACAGAACTTGGGTTTGTGCTCCTGGGTTTTGCACACCTGGACTTCCTGTAGGTGCTCTGGGCTAAATTACAGGCCAGCTGTCTATGCCAGTCCATCACATGTTTAAAATTGCTTTTTATTCAAATGTGGTAACTGGAGGGATATCTGTTAGAAGTCATCCATCAGGTTGTCGTCTTTGAAAACTGTTGATGTACTATATAGGGATCTCATTAGTTGTGGAGTAGCCCTTGGCAGTCTGTGAGGTGCTTTGAATCAAATTTTCTTTTTCTGACACTTTTTCTGAGTTTGCCTAGTTCTGAATCTGTTTAATACTTGGATCTTCCCATGTAGTCTTTCATTGGTACTCCACACAAGAAGTTTAAAGGGATTCCTCCAGCACTGTCTGATCCTTCCTTAGCTTTAATTGCTTTTATTTGAGGTCCTAGGGCACATGCAGATGCCTTTGAGGAATTCTGCATATTTTCTTTGACTTCAGAAGACGGAAAATCACAGGCTTTTTAATTTGTACAGATCCTGTTCTGACCTTTCATTTCCTATTGTAGGTATCCTTGTTATTTTTGATATTGTCTTTTGCCTTTTTTCCAATTCTTTGATATTTCTCCAGGAAGATGTGAAGTGTAAGCAGTGCAGATAATTGCATCCAGTGCAAGTTGTGACATCTCCAGCACTTGGTATGCTGCCATAATGGTCCCTTTGGATTTGAATTCCATCTCATGCCACATCACAGTCCCTATCTCCTTTACTGTTTCCCACTAAGTGGATGGTTTTCAGATTTCTGCACATTATTGCCACAAATTGTTTCTTAGATTGGTGTCTTTTCAGTTTTCTGCCTTTGAGATCCTGAAAGGGATGTTACTACATTTTTATACAGTCTACCAATTTACTCCCTGTCTGATAGTGCTGACTAATCCTCCTAAAAGTCTGATTTCTAATCCGTGTTTGTTATCAGCGAAAATGAATAGAGGATTTTCTGTTTACATAATATCAAACCTAGTCAAAACTTTCAGATTTGCCTCACAAAACCTTCCTGCACAGTCTAACAAAAATGGTATTACAGGTGGCTGCTTGTGTGGTGTTTGCCTTTGCATAACCATTTACCACACAAACCATTACACATTTGTATGACCTTGTCTTCATTTAAAAATGCAACTTACAGTATGTTTGCATTACAAATAGGAGGCTTTTTGTTTCTTGTGCAAGTAATCCTGTCTACCTTAAATGTTTAAAGTTTGAACAAATCTATAATTAGTAGCTTCCTGTTGTAGCTTCCTTTTTTAAGTGTAAGGGATGTAAAGAAAAAAAGTAAAAATTGTTCTATAAACTTGAAGCAGAGAGCTTCAGTCATTTATTGTCATGGTTTGATGTTGCAGTAACATGATTGACTTCAGTGTAGATTAGCGTGGTGGCTTGACCTTGGCTGGATGCCAGATGCCCACCCAGCTACTCTCTCCCCTCCTCAGCAGGACAAGGGCAGAAAATAGATCTAAAATCTTGTGGGTCGAGATGAGGATGGGGAGATCGTTCAGCAATTGCCATCATGGGCAAAAACCTTGACTTAGGGAAATTGATTTAGTTTATTGCCAATTATTAACAGAGTAGGATAGTAAGAATTAAAAACAAAACTACAATCACTTTTCCTCCACTCCTCCCTTCTTCCAAGGCTCATTTTCACTCCTGACTCTTCTACCTCCTCTGCCCCAACTAGTGCAGGGGGATGGGGAACAGATGTTGTGGTCAGCTCAAACACTTCATCTCTGCCACTCCTTCCTCCTCACACTCATGCCCAGCTTTACCATGGGGTGTCTCCTGTACGAGACAGTATCTCCTGAAGTGCTCCAGCGTGGGTCCTATCCATGAGGTGCAGTCGTTCAGGAACAGACTGCTTCAGCATGGGTCCCCCATGGGCCACAGGTCCTGCCAGAAAACCTGCTCCTGTGTGGGCTCCTCTCCATGGCCACGGTTCCTGCCAGGAGCCTGCTCCAGTGTGGGCTCTCCACAGGCTGTGGCTGGATGGATATCTGCTCCACTGTGGTCCTCCATGGGCTGCAGGGGAACAACCTGTGTTACCATGGTCTTGTCCTCGTCCTGCAGGGGACTTTCTGCTCCAGCACCTGGAGCATCTTCTCCCCCACCACCTTCTCACACCTGGGTGTCTGCAGGGCTGTTTCTCTCACATTATCTCACTCCCCTCACACAGCTGCTGTTCAGAGCTTTTTACCCTTTCTTGAATAAGTTAAGTTACCACAGAGGTGCTGCTGGCATCGCTGATGGGCTCAGCCTTGGTAGTGGTGGCCGTGTTTTGGAGCTGGCTGTAGCTGGGTGACATGGGGGCAGCTCATGGTGCCTTCTCATAGAAGCACTCCTGCAGCTCCCACCCCACTGTCAAAACCTTGCCACATAAACCCAGTACAGTTAGACTAGTCTATACTGAGGATTGCACTTCTAGTACATGGGAAGAACTCTGTGAGTGAATTCTGAGGTTTCTTTATGAAAGTATCTGAGTGAGTTTATGCATGTTTCCCTGTAGTTTTTCACTGGAAGATGAACTCAGCGGAGAAACTGTTATCTGAGACTCTACTAACAGCCTTCTGACTGCAGAAGCTTAACTCTAGAGTACTTTCTAAGCAGGGCCCTTTCGCCTGTTTATGTTGCTGTGGTAAAATTCATTAAGCTTCTTGGTCTCAGGGAAGATAGCTGTATGCCTGCAGCTGGAAGGATACTTTTTCTGGCGTCCCATACATTGCTCCTTTTGTGATTATCTCCCAAGTCATTCCCTGTGAGCCAGGGGATCACTGCAGAGTTGTCCCGTTCTTATAGGACAGAGGGAGAGAAGAAGGAATTCTTTGTGAAGAGATATTTCAGGTTGTGGCCATCAAACAGAGCTGCAAAGTTCTAGGCAAAATTGGTGGTGTGAACTGCTGCATATCAACTGTTTACAGGCAGGCTTTGGTAGCTCTTAATTGTGAGAGAAGTGGACAGCCAGTGCAGTGAGACATAGGCTCTGGAAAGTAGAACAGATTTATCCCTGATGTTATCCATCTGGACACTTTATCTTCTCCTGGATAACTTTTTTCATATTTGTCAGAGGAGTACTGTATTGCTTTACTGGGAATTGTCCAAGAAAGGCAAAGTAAAGTGGTTATCAACTTCTCACCACTCTGTACTGAATAATTACCAAAAGTGAAATTTACAGAACCTCAAAGCTGATACTGTTTCATAATATTTGGTGGCTTCTGGTTAAATACCTTATCAGTAGACAAGCCAACAGAAACATCTTCTAATTAAGCATTTAGTTCAGTGAAGGCTCTCCCACACTCCAATCCTTTACTCTTAATGTCAATGTTCTGTATTTTGCAGATATGTCTTTCCAGCCAGTACAGCCTGTAATAATCACTGTGGGATTTTTTTATTTCATGTAATGTGTTGGCTTTCATTTCTGTTCCTGTCTCCTGGCATTAGGTGGAGTGGATTTCTCCTTTGTGCCATTGCAATGCTCCTTGTGATATTTCCCATGTTTACCTTTCCGAAAAAGCTCCCTCCTCGACATAAAAAAAAGAAAAAGAAAAAGAAGATGAACTCTGATGATGTTTCAAGTGATGATGAAGTTATGAAAGAGAAAACAAATAGCAAAATACAAGCAGACAGTGCAGTTCCTGCCTCTATGGGATTTGGAAAGAATGTTAAAGGTGAAATTTGTTTTTAATTTTTAAATGCTTTAAATTTTGTGTACAGTCATCTAGGATTGTATGAGTGTAACCAAAAGGCAGAGTTTTGTCATCCTGTATTTAATACTATGTCTTGCTATTAAGTTTTTAATAGATTGCCATCCTCTAAAATTACAAAATGCAGTGATGAGTGCAAGACATCCATTTACTTAGATTACTGAAGTGTTTAATGTGCCTCTGTAACAAAGAGCTTATTTCCTATAGTTACAGGACTTCTATTACCAGGCATATTTTTGCACCTTACAGTTTGTAATGGTCATACTTTCTTTAAATTTCCCGTGATAGAATAAAGTGCTCTTCTAAAATATAAATGAAACAAGTAAAAATGAATTCTAATATGTGAGTTCAATTACATTCATGCATTTGGGTAAGATAACTGAGAAAGCTAACTGGTTTCATACAACTTTCCTGGCTATTTCATGCTGCAAGCTGTTTTCAGAAGGCTGAGATAACTGAAACCTATGCTAATTTTGAAACAAGAAGAGATCAAAAGATTGACAAGTAATAGAGATTTTGATTTTATTCAGGAAGTAAACCATTAATGTGAAATCTAACAGCAAGTAGTAATCATTGATACAATGCTGTGGGAAGAAGGACAGTATTAAAAATTAATTAATGTGAAGCATATAAATTTGGAGTTGACAATATAGGCTTAACAGTGTCATAATATTGAATAATATTGTTCAAGAATGAATGTGCTTTAATGCCATTGTGTTGTCAATGTTGTTGTGTCCTTGGATTCCGTGATGCTAGTTGTGCCGTTTTGAGGTAGTCTGCAGTGGGACTAGGATAAAACGTGAAATGTCATTTGTACCATTAGATGCAATTTGAACTCAAAACTTTTAAGTGTTTGTTTGTTGCCATGAACTTTCATGTTACTTTTTCATTAGATATCTGCCCAGGATATAATGATTTTTTAATGACACATTTATAATCACTCTTTCTATTGAGTAGGCAAGGCTTAGGAAAACCAGCATGCTGATTTTAAACTAAACTCAATGTAATTCATGCATATGGATTTGCACTACGTCTCATTTACATCTGTACTCTCAGAGTACCTGAAGTTACTTTTAATTTCAGTGGCAGTAGAGAAAAAACAGGAGACCAGTATTTGCTTGTGGTGATTTTATTAGCTTGCAAACCGGCACCTTAATCAAGGCATGGAGCAAGCAAAGTAAATGCAATATCAGATCTTTCAGAACCATATTCTCCCTTTGTGTGCAAAGTAGCTAAAAATGTGGTGGAGAAGCAAGCAAGGCGTGTTGTCTACTTCATTCTTTGAAGACTCTCTATTCCTCATATTTGTGAGTCCCTGTACATTATGTTTTCTCCTAAATCCATAAAGCTAATTGTGGTTTTTTTTCGGACCTTCAAACCTACTGACCTCTTATTAGCAAAAATAGTTCAGGGCTACTCCTGTCAAGGTTTTCTCACTAGCTTAGGGAGGTGGGAAAAGGGAGTTCAGTCTTTGCTGGGCTCCTTCCTAATCATTGCAGGCAGTGTGATGGCAGAGGGGCTGCTTCTTTGATATAAATGTGTACCATGCCTTCCACAAAATCCTATGTAAACATATTAATGGAGCTACAAAATTGAGCTTTTCATATAGAAAACTTTTCATTTTCTCTAGAGGAGAAACTGCACCACGTGAAACAGTGAAAAACAGCATCATATTCCACGTGTCGGAAAGATACCAAGCGAGTCAAGATAGTGCAGAGAAAAATGTTTTGCTATAAGCTGATAACATCTTTCCTATTAGGTGTCATATACCCTAGCAAAGAGGACCTGCAGCAGGGATGTACTATCATTTAATTATTTTTCAAGTTTAAGTGGGCTTTATGAAATGAGATCATGCCTCAAACTTCTCAGCTGAGGTAATTTCATTTATAATGGGAAGGAAAAAAGGTTCACATGTGTCTAAGTCATTTAGCATTACTTCTTCTGAGGTGCAATCTGCATTTTATACTTCCTATTGAATTTCTGTGTTTCATCTTTTTATAGCACAATGGGCAGAAACTCCACTTAGGCAGTAGCCAGGAGACTGATGACTTAGTTGGTCATGTCTTCTGTTCTGTACTAATAAATATCAATGATGTTGTAGACTGCCATGAGAGAGGTTAGTGCCACTAAACCTGTAGCAGCTTTGGTAAGGAAAGTCTCAGAAAATAAATTGATTTGATCTTCTGATACGATGTCTTACCTGGGAAGCCTAGGAAAATGTTTCTTGCCCTGCTGTAATTTATCTTGATTCTGTGTAATTTAGTTCTCTAGGTGAATGAAAAGGAATCAAAAATGTGTGACAGGATAGGGTCGGGATCCTTTCTCCTCCAATGGCTGCCAGTATAGGCTGAAGAAGTAAACCAAAACTGGCTCCATCTGCAAGGACCCTCCAACTTCAGTGACCTGAACTTTATTTTGACCCACAGTACAGCTGAGATCAGAGAAAAATACAGATACATGCTTTTTCTTATGTTTCTAGATGCTTGCTTATGTTGCAAGTAAAAAATGTGAGAGGGAGAATGCTTCTGAGGCAAGTATCAAAAGTAATAACTAAAACATTAAGTAGGTCACAGGAGGAAGAAAATTGGATTCAGTTTATTGGGAGAAAAGATTTAGTGTAGGTAAGATGAGCTGGAGGAGATTTATAATGAGGAAGCCACAGTTCAATCCCATACAAACAGATAAATCATGAACCTGAGCGCACAAAACCACTGTTCTTATTCATTACATGGATACCCTTAGGGTTTTGTACCATGGAAATTGTATCTACAGTCCCTTTTGCTTACCACTATAATGCAACTTATTGTGCAATTGAATAAAGGAGCAGTATAAAGAAAGAAAATGTATATATTACCTAAAATGTGCGATCTGATAGGTATCAATTAATTACACATATTTTGTAGTCGTTGTGTGGGGGTTTTTTTTTAAACATTTTGAGTTTTGTCCTTATGCGCAGCCTTTCCTTAAATACGGTATTTTCCTGTCTGCCTTTTCGTGTCTATCAGCTGTCGTGTTCCTTTCTCAGTCAGTCCCTGCTGGGGACAGAGACAGGATCATAATGCTTGTCAAGGCATCAGCAAAGGTAAAAGGCAGTGATCAGAAGAGGAGGAGGAGGAGACAGTGATCTGTGTGTGGGAGTGCTTGGTGAGCACTGAAAATGTTAGAGAGTTCAGCAGATCGTGGGCTGGATGGAGATCCTGCTGTGCCGCTGATCTTGAGTGAGTTGCTTCCCTCTCGCCTTTTCTTAGGCCATCTTGGAGAACCCAAAGTAGAAAAGGTTGGCATAGTCCCATGCGGCGATGAGCAGTGTTAGCTAGAGCCTCGAGAAGCGGCTCTAAATTAGGTTAACAAAAGTAATGATCAGATCAAACTAGCTCTGAACCTCCCTATTCTTGATAGGATATTAGGGGCTGTTCAAGAATCTGGCTACCACCCAGGTACATAAGGCATGTCCAGAAAATGTTTGAGGAAACTAGTTGAATGAAGTTGTTTAAATGGTATGAATAGATAATGAAATGAAGTACATGGCAAAATATTATTCTAGAATTTAGTGATTAACTCCATGCAGAGGATATATTTGAAGCAGTTGTGTGTGACTGGAAATACTTATTTCTATTCTGATATACAAACCAGAAATTATGTCTCAAATCTTGGCTCTGCTTTCTACTGCACGAGAGCAGAAGCTGCCCCTGAGACCTCGATGTGGAGGCACCCTCTTTCAAAGCTGAACACTTAGATAGTGCTGTCCAGGCTTGGAGCAACGGCTGAAAGGAGCTCCTTTAGCTAATGTTTACAGTGCTTTAAGAGATTTGCTTAGAGTAGTATTTACGAATATTTGCATTGCTTGCAGATTTTTCTTATGTTTTTCCCTTGTCATGAATCAAGCAGTGAATCCTTATCATGAATCCAGCACACAAGTGAGAGAAAATGAATATTGACTGGAGAAAAAACACTGTCAAAGGCCATGAAGGGAAGAAAATTGCCAGTAGACTAGCAAACCAGTACAGCAAGGCTGTACTTTCAATTTTCAATTTTCTGTTAGTTATGTATTCTCTTAGTTAGGTTATTAAATAATAATAAAAAAGGTAGAAAAGAAAGAAATTTTAATTATGGTGCAGAATTGTAAACATGTTTGCAGCCATACTGAAACATCACTTCAGTTTTAGTAATGTAACTGATAGAGATTTATTTATTCACAGAATCACAGAATCACAGAATGTTAGGGACTGGAAGGGACCTCGAAAGATCATCTAGTCCAGCCCCCCTGCCAGAGCAGGATCACCTACAGTAGGTCACACAGGAACGCGTCCAGGTGGGTTTTGAATGTCTTCAGAGAAAGAGACTCCACAACCTCCCTGGGCAGCCTGTGCCAGTGCTCTGTTACCCTTGAGGGAACCTACAAGTTCTCATAGATTTGTTTCTGATGCACACTTGTAAAAACAAGAGGTGTTTTTTGACAGCCTCCTAATAATCAGAACCTAGCAGGTTTAGTAATGGCCTTGAAATGAAAGCCTGGGCCTATGACTAGTCACAAAAATAATGCAACATTAAAATGTTTTAAATGCAGGATTGATTACGTAATACATAGGATCCTTGAAGTTTTTGGCATTCTTGCTTTTTACTAGAATTAGTGTCCTTGAAAGATACAAAATAGTTATAGCTCCTTTTTAGTATAAGTTTTTAAATTCAGAGATGTAATGCAGATTCTGTCACACAGAAATCAGGAAATCAGGAAAAAAATAATTCTGAATATGAATTTTTATTTGGAAATTTCTAACTATAAAACAACTTTTCCTTGTATGCCAGACAGTTGCACTTTATAAATCACAAAGAGCTTCAACCCTCAGCTGCTCCGAGTGCTATGCATTAGTGCAGCATGCAGGAATAATGTTTTATTTCATGCCAAAAATTACAGTAATCAACAGAGCAGTTCCCAGAAGAATCCTTCACATGGGTTAAGAGAAATTGTGCCTATCCTGAGACACTGAGTTTTGTCTATTTATCAGTAGAAATCCAATTTCAAAATACTAATTAGCTTTGAAATTAATAATGACCTTTAGACTGAGTGCTCAGATGAGATGCAAGTAGGAGCTCTACATCCGAACACCAGAACAAAATGTTTGTTAGCTCTGCAGTTGTTTACCTAATTAGTTCTTCAGTATCTTTAGTTGAAAAATTCTAAACCAGACATCTTCCTGAAGCTCAGTTTAATCAGGAAAAGCTAAACCTTGCCAGGTTTTATGGTATTTGGATGCGGCCCTTTAAAATAATGGATTTAGCAAAGCTCTTGGGCTCAGCCCTTTGCAAGTACTTTCAGTTCGTTTCTAACAAAGAGGACTTAGTTCATCACTCTAATAAAATACTGTTTCTCTCTGTGACATCCAGTCTTTTGAAAGTAACATCTTTTTATTTTCTTCCATGTGTTTTCTGGTGGCAACCAGATAGCCCAGTTTCCAGCAGGACCCATCCTGGCACCGTCTCTTTCCTTCCTGCCTCCTTTCTCACAGCGGCAGCAGCAGCACCATGGTCATAACCTCTTGCTCCTCTCGCAGGGAGAGAAGCGCCTGATCCCGCACCTTGTCCCCAGGGAAATCCTGCTACAGCTGCCTCACGGCAGTCCTGTGGCAGCCGTTTTCTTACGCTGCATCACCTGGCCCGATGAGAGGCTTTGCAAAAGCTGGGTTGGAGAATCCTGGCTCTTGCCCTTTGGTTTCTTCTTGCATCTAAGCCCCCATCAGCTAACCCAACCCAAAAATAAACCCAAAACCCAGAGCTGATGGGGTTTGTCATCTGGTAGTATTGTAGATCTTTTATTTTTCTTCTTGCTTTCACTTCCTTTTGAAGAAGATAAGTTTTGATCAGCTGTATCTTAAACATGTAGCATATTTGCCAATAAATACCTATACTATTTTATCTTTGTACTTGCTACTGTGATGTAGCTGCTGAAGGTGTACAGTTGCATCACATTTTCCATAATATGTTGACATTGTATTGTCTCATACCCCTGTTATCTTCTTTCTTTCTGTTCTTCGATTGCAAACAGTGTTATTTAAAGCTGTAGGAGGTAAAAAACATTAAAATTCAAATAGGCAAGTACTTAATATGATCTATAAATTACTTATTTCCATGAAATTTTGTATATAACATTTAATGTGCCTCTTTATGGAGGCAGCAAGAAAGCATTTGACTGCATTAAAATTATAAACCCTGTACTCAATGAATTCAATATAAATTTTAACAACTGGCATAAGTTAAGACTGGTTGCAGTCAGGCAACTTAGGTGCTAATTTGCAGCCTGACAAATTTTGACATGACAAGAGTCTAAATTCTGTTTTATTTTATACAGATAACCTACTGGAGTCAATGGAGAAAGTGAGACAGATTTTTGACTTGACAACTTTTAACATGGATAAAATTCTCACTCAGGAGTCTTTACTCAACATGTTCTATTTCTAATGGGTGCTCTTGTCATTGATGCGCTGGCCTTTGATTCAAGCAGCGTTTAATTTCAGTACAAAGCAAAAAGCAAGTGAAAAAATCCAAACCATAGTAGGTTAGATAAAATACTTGAACAGCAAATCTTATCTTGGTAGAGGCCCCAAGGAGACAAAAAACATGTTTAAAATCATGTGGTCCAATAAGAAAAAATTAAGTCTTGATTATAGTTTTCATCATCTTGTGATGCTAGTTCACTACAGAACTGAATTAAAAGTATTCAAATGTTTCTTTTAACTACAGTGCTGAATTTCATGAGGTTTTGATACTTGATTCAAGGATAATTGCAACATCTATGAATACTTTTTCAATTTAAGTTACTGATGTGCTCTCATTTTTAATTGATTGCTTTGTCCGTTCTGAGAATATTAAATCAGTTGTTTGTAAGGTATATTGGAATTTGTTGATATGTTTTCTTCAGTATGCTTTGTCTGTGTCTATTGTAAATACTTTAAATCATGTAGAAAACTGTTTAATTAAAAAACTTTTGATTCCCTTTTCAAATTATGGTATTATTATTTCAGCTTTCCAAGTGTGGTCCTTGAAGCAGAAAGTTACAGGGGGAGTATGTGATCTGTTTTCCACCTGTGGAGTGCAAAACTCAGT